AATCGTGCAATACAATGCAAATGGACATCATCTGGACTACAGACGGAGAGTAAGACATAGGGAATCGGTACCGGGATTCTATCGATACGATTTAATTTAATTTAACCTTTCTTGATACGAATTTGCAACAATCAACAATCAATCAGGCGATTTAAAATAGGTCCAACAGTTTTTCAAAAACTTTATTGATACGAATTTGCAACAATCAATCAGGCGATTTAAAATAGGTCCAACAGTTTTTCAAAAACTTTATTGTAGTGGCAATGTGCAATCTCATTTGCAATGATAAATACCCGGCCGTTTGAAGATGATTTTCAAAAGTTTGTAATACATTCTTCGGCAAATTGATGGACGATCCGCATTTTTTAGTGTGTATAATTGTGTGTGTACTTTAATTGGAAATTTAAAAGAAGGCGAAACTCGAACAGGCATTTAGTACATGAGCACCCTTAACCTAGTATTTACAGTATCTGCAGCTTCTCCCTTGATAATTTGTTGATTCATTGCTATCAGCGTTCTAAAATAAACTGCATCGAACACAATAATGTCACACTCAATAATTGATAAATCAAAATCACTGTCAGTTTAATAACGCAATGTGCATTTGAAAAGTTTATCAGATCTACAGATGCACCCGTACTAAGAGAAAAATGTCGAATTCAACGTGCATGTGTGCGTCCCAAGCCTCAGGCGCGAAGAGGCCGGAGTGGGGGTCGCCGTGAAAGAAAAAAATTGGTTCACCCTCCCATAAAAAGTCATCACTTCAAAAATTCATAGAAAATCACCTAGAAAGCCTGCATGGGCTTATATTTGTGCAAATAACTCGAAAACGAAGACAGATATGAAAAAACTGCAAGAGATCAGAAAATTCTTAAATTGAGCAGCAAATGCAAAAATGTGTTTGGTCGAAGTCAGTGGTGCACCACATAAAAGCTCGGGTGGGTAAAAGGGGTATGCGCCTGAAAAAAAAACTAGAATGGAAACTTTGGAAAGGTTGTGAATCACCCTGTATGTACCGAAATTTTCAAAGAAGTGGAGATCGATTTTTTCAAAAAACCAGCAACTCTCTCAAAGCGCCCCGAATTGTACTTACTTTTTGTCAGAAGGAAGCCAGGAATGCAAACATCATTGAAAAAAATGCTAGAATCTTCACAATAATGGTCTTCGTCATAATATCATATATAATATAATTCATAATATGCTTCGAAATAATGGTCATTTTCAGTTAATTGTTAGTAGCTTTGGAGCGGTAACGATCTTTAACCGTCAATATCTTTCGTATTATGCACCCAAAAACTTTGCATATTAAGTTTCTCAAATTGCCTAAAATTTTACTTCAGTTTGAGCTCAAGCAGGAGGAAAATGCAACGAAATCTTCAGTTTTTTTCCAAAAATCCCAAAGGCTCCTCTAAAGTAAACCAAATCCGGTTCGAAGAACCAATCATTTGTTCAAAAAGGCAACTCTTTCTACCTGTTTTTTGTCTTACAAAAAATAGAGGCTTTGATAAAGTTTTTTTGTTGAAGACAAATTTCAGCCGCCGCTGTTGGACGGAAGGCGTCCCGATGCCATCGGCTGAAACGCGTGCGCTACCGCGTCGGTGGCGCCCCGACGTGTGAACGCGACTCCCCAAACGACCTTGCAACGTCCTTCCTGCGAGAGTGTGTTGATAGTGGCCAGCGGAATCGGTCGTTTTGTGCGTGTTTCACCTCGTCTTCGCGCTCCAACACGACGCGACCAGTTTGCCGGCTTATCACCAGGTTTGTACCATTTTTTTCACGTTGGTAAACGTGCTGTTTTTGCTCTGGTTTTCCCATTTTGTCTAACGATTTTTCCGAACGTTAACTATACGATTACCGTCAAATATTCGAAACGATCAATCTGCAATTACCGGTTTGTTTATGTTTGTTTTTTGGACATTTTTCCTTAATTAACCGCTTTCTGTGAAAAAACCTAAACATCAAACCAAAAAAATAAAATTAAGTTCTTATCGAAGGGGGAACGGTTTTGTTTACATCCATTTTCCTGCGCGTCTCGCATACCAAGAGCGCAAAGTTAATAATTTTAAGTTTTTAAACAGTTTTTCCATTTGACGCGCCTGGGAGTGCACAATTTCACGTTCTATGCACACTTTTTCGGGTTCAACTAGACGAGGCCAAGAATGTGTAGAATAATCCATCTGAGTTCCATTCAATGTTTTGAAAAAAATCAACCTTTCAAGCTGGGAAACCTTAAAAAACCGCTGTGCGCTATGCAGGCAACTAAGTGAATGATCTCGAATGCATCAAAACAACTTTCGCAATTAACGCATGACATGTTGGGATAGTGCAAGATTATTGGGGTGATTCATTAAGAAAGGGCAGTATTTACATATAGATAAACACACAGGAGAAACGGTTCCTTAAAATAAGATAACTGAGTTCAACTGACAAAAAAATTGATGATTTTGATGAAAATTTCAGACAATAACACTTTAACTCGATCAATTTCTAGATGCTTCTAAATAATACAATTACAACCATTTCGTCTTGCCACAAATGCAAAAAGTATTTCTCATTGAATACCTTTTTGTAACGTTTTCCGGCAGAACTAAAAATCTATGGGCGAAAGGTCGGGCAATTGCGCTGGCCAGGTAGCAAAACCCCACATTTCCCGTCCCAATTCGGAGTAGTTTTCGGTTAAAAAAATCCTCTCGATCCTTCTGCATTGTGGGGGACCGCCTGGAATATTCAACGCCCAAACCAGGCCATTTTTTCGGTAGAGTTCCGCATAAAAGGTGTTTGAAATTATCGCCGTTTGTTTTGACTGGGCGGTTTAATCACCTGCACTGATTTAATCTTATCAAGAAAACTACTACTATTAATGAATTGTAAACTACAGGTACGTATGCATGTTGTATGCATACGTAATAATTTATAAATTTGATAATATCATATTTTTAAAACACTTGAAATTGGCGGAACGTATACAAGGCTTATAGCACATCATAAATAACTTTTGCGAGCGATTATTACTTGTTTGGTTATTTGACAACGCTAATACTATTGTTTATCAGCCCGTATTTATACAGAAAAATACCGAGTTTATGACCATTCAAGTTTCATCTTAGACATATACATACAAGGTGTCCCAACTTGTTTTCTTTACATTTTTGCAATACGACGTTGAACACTTTCAACCAAATAATACCGGTTGATCGCAAACTTGCTTTACTCTTTCGTTGGGACACCCTGTACATATTATAATGGCATAATATCTACGAAATTTTAGTCGAAAACCCCAAAAAGCTTTTGACTTTAGTCTAATAAAGCTTCAGCTCATAAGTGAAATATTTTAAGCGGCGGAGGTATCAGGTTGTAACGTAGCAACGGGCCGGCTATCTTGCATCTGGTATAAGTCGTATGTGTCCGAGGGAGACAACCGATAGTAGCTACGTTCTTGAATATAAGTTAGGAAAATAAGTTTGAGTGAGCGCGTGTCCTTCAAGCGAATACATATCTGAAGATGCTCACGATGCGTGCTAGCGAAACATCAGTACCAAATGGGTCATAAATTGTTCAAAAATGTCGACGGGATTTTAGCTGAACACCCGAGTAACTTTCGTCTATTCAATTTTAACGATTATTCAATAAACAACGTCGAAGCCGATCGCTTGGATACTCGGCCGGATTAAGATCAGGGCTGTACGCAGGCCATTGTGGCCGTGGAATTTCAACCAGATTTAAAAGTCGACTTGCATTATGAACCACATGCGGTCGTGCGTTATCACGCACAAGTATTCATTTATTCATTAATCATCCTCAAGAAACTACTGCCAGGCTCCTTCCTATACGACCTATTGTGTGGAAATCTGAGCAAATAAGTGAATTTTTGTTGAAAAACACAATTTTTTTAAATGATCATGGAACGGCAAATGCAAAGGCGAATTCCTCAAGCTAAAGTTTGCAATAATATGAAACTAAAATTTCCATTCAGTCAAGGCCACATTAGGAATCCAATGCGGAGCATCAATTAAAAATGCAATATTTATATAACTAAAGGATCAATGTAATTTTCAATAATGACTACTAGTTATGCAGAAAATCTGTGTTTTTTTATCATTATGTGGTATTTTCATCTGTGATATACAGAGTATCACTTCAAAGAATTACTTGCTTGGAAATGTCGCAGTTTTGAAAATTTTGCCCGTTTGTTCTGTTTTTTGAGTGAACACACTCAGACCATATCAAAGTTACACGGTTTTTAAAAGTGGAACAAATGAAGCCAAACCGGAAAAGCCCGGTTTTGCAAAAACACTTGATGATTTAGATATTTGTGTTTAAATATACATTTTATTAGCCGAAAGCTGAAATTATGTCGAAAAAATACGCCCAGGCCTGCGCGTGTTATCTTTAACATATCATTTTATTTTGGTGTGGAGCTATTTTTATTTCCAAAATAATAATGCTCGCCAATAATAAAATGTCATCTGGTCGGAGCATGATCCATTCGTTTATGCTACGTTGTAGCTGTTTTAGACTTAGTTTTCCAAATAGCCGACTGCTTCAGGCAGGTTTTTTTCCTGAAAATAGTCCATAAAATGTTCGGTGCGTAGGAGATAAAAGTTCACTCCCGATCATATTGAAAGTCGGAGGAGGCTATAAAATGACTGATTCAGACCGCCCATATTTCTGACATTTTCCAAAAAAAGTCCAGAAAATTTCAAACAAGCCTTAAACAGGATGTTATAAATACTTTAAAAGTTCCTTCCTATCTAGTCATTATCTGTCAAACTTCTGTCTGTTGAATTTAGTCGATTGTTTAAAGACGACCTGGAAATTTGCCAAGTTCAAGATAGAGAAGGCTTTTCTTAGGCGTTTAGTGCCATTTTTCCGACGAGTACAGCGATTTTAGCAAAGAAAACGCGAAAAAACCTACACGCTATCTGACGTTTGCTGTCAACTTGACAGCGGCCATTATGATATGCGCTTGATAGGAACCACACGGGACTTAATATGCACGTAAAGCGCCTGTTTGTAGATTTGAACACTTTTTGGAGGCTTGGTTCATCTGAAATTACCAAAAAATTCTTCTCTTTCCCATTTAAATTTAAATTAAAAAATAAAAAAAAAATTGTTGGACACTGCAGCCAGGCCAGTGGAATCTCAGCTTTATGGCGTAGTTAGTGCGTAATTAGACGTGTAAATACCTCACAGTTTGCGAAAAAAACCGACTGACATTGAATTTATTTTTAGTAGAGACGCCTCTGATGATTTGGGTGACAATTACTAATGCACAGAAACTACATCAAAAGGCAGACGATCTATTTTTAAGCTTAGTTTCTCGACTGATTCGTTAGTAGATTTTGCTTTATGCTGGAATTAAAAGGAAATTGGCTGTTGGTAGGAATTTGGTGCTGACGTTTCGCCGGCATGCATGATTGGCATCTCCAGAAGTGCATTTTCTTGGAGAGCTCACACCCAAACGCGAAAACTCTGATGCGAAACTAATTTTCCCATTCACGAACGTAGTTGACATCTGTTGTTCTCTCTCGCACTCATAGGAGTCTATGGGAGCTGCAAGAGGGCCTGTGTACTGCTACGTTCGAACTTGATACCCTCGGCGCTTAAAATATTTCAGTCTTGACCTGAAGCTTTTGAAAACCACTCGACTTCTTTCGGCTTTCCAACTAAAACTTCGTTGAAATTGTGGAATAACGATGATTTTCCGGATATTAGGACGAGGTTGATAGGAATTTGCTATCCTAAACTACCCCGAAAGTCATCGATTTTTTCGATGGCTGCAGAAGCCACAGTTTCAACTCCCTTCTTGAAAGCCAGACCAGAAGAAAAATCCACTTTTTCCCCAACTCAACAGGTAAATAAGACAAAACGGTCTGATGCCAGGAAATTGAACTGTTAACACTAATTCGGGCGAATAAAACTCATTTAAATGTTGGCGCACAATCGCACATGTGCTCTCAATTTGTTTAAAAAAATTAGTTAATAAAGCTATAAAATGGCGCCGTATCTCCTATTGACGCGGACATGTTAATTGGCCTTATTGGCGCTCATGGACATAAATTGGCAAATAATGCGTCGAAGAGTTATTGGAATTATTTTCTTCTATTGGAATTAAATTCTTCAATTTGGAATTTTTTCCTAGTGTTTTCCTTTCAAGAAATAACGTTTACGTGACGAAAAGCGGGTGATTTGCTTGATTGGTGCATTGCTCACAGGCGCGAAAGATGCACTGTTGCAAAATTTAATTAAATTATTCGGGATTGGGATTTAAAAACCATTATCCAAAGTCTTGGTTAGTGGAACTTACACATTATAACAAACGGTTTTTATCAGAAGTCTTTAATTTTTATGTCGTTTTTTAGTAATAAAATACTTAAAAAATCTAATTATTCCACATATGACTTGATTTCAACAGATTCACGTTCAAATAAGCAGCGAATTTCAAATTAAATCTGCATAATTTATACAGGGTGAGCCAACAGAAGCACGCCCTAATAATCGACGTAAACCGCAGCAGTTTGTGAGTTTTCAGTCGAAAAATGAAACGCAGTTCATTGACTGCGTCCTGATTGCACTTAATAATAACATATTTTATGATGTCAAGTGTGGTGATTTTATTTTTAACCTCGCTGTAATAAATAAGAAAAGTTGAGTGAATTAAACCGAAAAATCGAAAATACCAAAACAATGATAAGGCGAGGAGACACACAAACAAACGATGGCATTGACATTGGCACTGACCTTACGCTTTTAACAGCAAAACAACTGGATATTTATGTACCTTAATATTATTAACAAATACATTTATTTACTGATTAAAAGGCCGTTAAATCCAGGCTGGTCTGATTTATGCAGATGCAAATATGCGCAACTGGATGTTACTTAACTATTGATCAGTGGTTTGATTGATTAGTTGGCTCGATGCATCCGATTAAGATGGGTGGGTTTTGTGATGATTAGTTTTGGGCGATTTAAAAAAAAAATCAATCCAAAAAGGTGAGCGATCGTGACTTTTTTCAAATTTAAATTATATTTTGCAATCATTTTGCATTGAGTGCAGTCAACGATAATTGAAAGTTTTGAATTGCAAATTGCCATTATATTTTAGCTGGAGTTAAGTCAATATTGCAACATTTGAATAATCAATGAATACTATCGATGTAGGAACTGGCATGGGCACCGTTATTTACGTTGATCGCCACTTAACAGTTTTGCTTTTTCTTGTTCCTTCAGGCGGCCCAGTCTTGTTTTGCTTGAATATTTCCATGTAAATTCGTTCATTTTTATGGGCCAACATTTTTTTTAATTCTTTGATTTTAATTAAAATATTTTCCAAAAACGTTTTCGGATTAGTTCTCAAACTCTGTGTTTTTTTGGCGTCAAAGTTGGCAGCTTGTCGGTTAATTAAACAATTAACCAGTTGATTTACGTCGCAAATCTAATTTTCTTCACTTAATTTGTTTACGTGGCTGCGAACTTATGAAATGATAAGGCTTTAATTATGTTATTCTGGAGTTTTGAGCCGTATTATTAGCATATGTGTATAATTTTTGACTTTCTTCCAATATTCCCAAATGATGTTCAAAGAAACATTGGCATTTATATTTAGCCGCGGTTAGTAAGCTTGCATGTGAGCGAGTAATTAGAGTTTACACATTTTCGGTGTCAAATTGGACAATTTCGATCCGCAAGGAGCATTGATGAAATATTGTACAAAATTATCAGGAAGTTGGCAGTAGTTTTGGGTAAAAAACGCGGTTTGTAGGAATACAGAGTTGCCTTTCTTGCGTACTTCCGAGGTTCCTACGCCGCGCAGTGTTGCCCGCTTGTTTCACTCATCAGCTATTTTTCGTTCGTAAAGCATCAAAGAGAAATTGGAAAATGTTTTAAATGTTTTTCGACTCTTGAGAAAAATGTGAAAAGGCAAGACAGACAGCCGTTTTAGGTCCATCAGACGTTCGACCATTAAGGCGCATTAAACGGGGCAATAAACTCCAATTTAAGCTGATTGTGCCTCAATTCAACAGCCATAATGTTTGAAATCGAGATCTGGTACAACTCTGCTGGGTTTATTAATCCGATATGGATTGACGTTAATGTGGAGTTATTTTCGAGCCATGATCGTTGTAAGCAGCAGAAAAATGTGTATCTGCAATGCTGTCCGAAATAGATCAAACTGATTTAATTATGGAATTGACCTGATGTGGCCCGAGGATGTGTTTCCGATTCGTATTTGAACGCATTGAGGTACTGACATTTTGATATTTTAGTTAGAGGATAGGATTTAACTGGTGACTTTATAAGATACTGCCAGACGCCATCGACTCAAACGCCCTGTATATGTGTACTCGACAGCTTTTCAGCTACGGTTTAGTACTTTGTCCGGAAACCTCAAACCGCTCAAATGATCCAGGAATGCCCAGAAATGGAACTTACTGATGAGCAATAAGAGGAAAGGATGGCTAATGTTGATTGGTTTTGGTCTTTAATCAAAGAAGAGAAATTACTTTTTTGTGCCTATATTTTTTATTGTTTTATGGTTTTTAAATTTAATTTAATTAAAGTGTCTTTTACAGATTGTGAAAATCTCAAATCGATTCTTGTCTTAGATTAGAAGTCCAGTTTTTTAAAGATTGTCTAGTTGTATGAAAACATTCATTTCTAGGCAAACATTTTGAAATTTGGCAATCATCGAAGTTAAACGTGATTTGAATGATTTTTTCGGAATTTTCAGACTACGGTGTCTTTTGTTTGGTTTTGGTTGGTTTGTCTTTGGTTTGGCGAAAATTTTAAGTCGCTCTGGATTGTCTAGGTTGAATCACAAATTTTTATAGAGAAATCGCATTTATGTTAAATCATGGTTTTCTAGGTCAATATTTAGACAGTCGGCAAAAATTAGGATTTTGTGCGATTTGAATGAACTTTTTTGCATGTGCATATTGAGGTATCTTCTACAGTCTGAAAATATCACGTTCCTGCTTGCTCTGGATCAAAAGTATGGATTTTTCAAACAAAGGCGTGCGAATTTCTAACCAAATTCAGAAAGTCGCAAAATTTAGGATCTCGTGCGATTTGAATGAAAATTTTAGGAGTTGCAGATTGAAATGGCTTCTGTAGATGTTGAAAATATCACGTTGCTGCTTGCTCTGGATCAAAATTTTGGATTTTTTAAAGAAAATCCTGCATTTGCATTAAATAGTTGTTTTCTAGGCCAACATTCAGAAAGTCGAAAAAAAAATAGGATCAAGTGCGATTTGAATGAAATTCTTAGAAGTTGCAGATTGAAGTGTTTTCTGTAGATCCTCAAAATATCATGTTGCTACTTGCTCTGGATCAAAAGTATGGATTTTTCATAGAAAGTCGTTCATTTGTGTTGAAAACTTAATTTCTAACCCAAAATTCAGAAAGTCGCAAAATTTAGGATCTCGAGTGATTTGAATGAAAATTTTAGAAGTGTCAGACTGTAGTGGTTTCTGTAGATCCTGAAAATATTACGATGCTGCTTGCTCTGGATCAAAAGTTTCGATTTTTTAAAGAAAAGCCTGCATTTGCATTAAAATGTTGATTTCTATGCCAACATTTAGAAAGTCGAAAAAAAATTAGGATCATTTGCGATTTGAATGAAAATTTTAGAAGTTGCAGATTGAAGTCTCTTTTGTAGATCCGGAAAATATCATGTTGCTACTTGCTCTAGATCAAAAGTATGGAGTTCTTAAAGAAAAGCCTGCATTTGCATTAAAACGTTGATTTCTAGGCCAACATTCAGAAAGTCGACAAAAATTAGGATCAAGTGCGATTTGAATAAAAATTTTAGAACGTGCAGACTGAAGTGGCTTCTGTAGATCCTGAAAATAGCCTGTTAGTACTTGCTCTGCATCAAAAGTATGGATTTTTTAAAGAAAGTCGTTCATTCGTATTGAAAACTTAATTTCTAACCCAAAATTCAGGCAGTCGCAAAAATTAGGATCAAGTGCGATTTGAATGAAATTCTTGGAAGTTGCATATTGAAGTGTCTTCTGTGGATCCTGAAAATATCATGTTGATACTTGCTCTGGATCAAAAGTGTCAATTTTTTAAAGAAAAACCTGCATTTGTATTCAAAAGTTGATTTCTGGCCCAACATTCAGATAGTCGGCAAAAGAGGCAGAGATCGACTGGGATTTAAATGAAACTTTTAGAGGTTGCAGAGTAGAGTATGGTCTATAGATGCTGAAAATATCATATTGCTACTTGCTTTGGATCGAAAGTCTCGATTTTTTAAAGAAAAGGCTGCATTTTGAAAGTCGACCAAAATCACGATCGAGTGCGATTTGAATGAAATGTTTCGAAGTCGTAGAGCGAGCTCTTCTATGGATTCTGAAAATATCACGTTCTTACTTGCTTCGAATCAAAAGTTTGGCTTTTTTAAGGAAACCCCTGCACTTGCATTAAAACGTTGATTTCTAAGCCAACATTCAGAAAGATCCTAAAAAATCAGGTTGCTACTTGCTTTGGATCAAAAGTCCAATTGAGCCAAATTCCTTTCATATTTCGTCAAAAGACCGACAGAAAATCGATCGTCTGTTGGTGTTTCGACGAAGCATCAAAACTGAGTCAAGAAACCTTTCGGTTTTACTGACTTTGTTGACTTTCTCCTCAAAAAAAAAACTTAGAAACAATGTAACTTTTGCAATTAGATCATCAGCTATTGCTGCCTTGTAAGGAATAAGACCAATTTCGCACCACCTTCTATCAATGAACATGGAGTTAGCATGAAAAGAGCATTCTGTTTGTTTCAGATCTATTTGAAAATGGCATCCGAACAAGATAAATGTGGCCTCAGTTCATTGCTTCTTCCAATATCATGCCGAGACAGAGCCGAAGCTTTCGCTAGAAGCCTTCAGTCTCGTCTCAGTTCTTTGGGCTCAGACAGTTCGACGGAGGAGAGAAGCTGGTTGGGTTCTCACGAAAGCACAGTCGCTCTTACACAGCCCGTTCTCAATCCCGACGCCGAACGGTATTTGGCGCTGGACATCCTGGAGTCGCCTTGCAGTCCACACGAAGAGATCGAGGAGACCGAGGTGCACAAGCTGCTGAACAAAGATCGGTTAAGGGAACCGAATGGCGAGTGCCGGCTGCCCAAGTTGAACGAGAATGAAGTAAAATGTAATGGGCAGACTAACGGCTTGGTCCCTCATTATTCTGGAGACAGTGACAGTGAGGTGTTCTACGACCTGGATGATGATTCTTCGACTCAGCTTTATACAAATGGATTCGCTCATTCACAAGCCACGTCCAGTAGCAACACGTACGCCACTTCATTGGATTGCACACCGCAGCCTTCGGTCAGTGATGAGCTGAGCACTTTGAGCCTGAAGGACGACATCTCATTGGTTGAGGCGGGCAGCATCTGTGAAGACTGTGAGAAGAATCGGGAGGAGGGCAAAGATGCAACCTTAGAGACTGATGTTAGCCACTTAGCAGTACCTGAAGGGCCGACGTTGGAGTGTCGCGCCGATGCAAAAGAAGAGCCAGTTGAGGAGGCTGGTCCGAGTGACGAGCCGGACGAAGCAGCTGATGGTGAAAACGATAATGAACCGATACCGCGAGTTCGGAGATGTTCCTCTTTGAAGACCGGCAAAACACCCCCGGGGACTCCGGGCAGGAAGAAAATTGTGAGATTTGCAGATGTGCTGGGTCTCGATCTGGCGGACATTCGGACGTTTTTAGATGAAGTCCCCAAAGTTCCCAAGTCGGCGTACAACGACCTCAGCGACGTCGATCTGTCCGATTCATCGGACATTTGTCCAGTTAGTCACGGTATCCAGTTCCATGGCATCAGAGCGGAACGCATCTTGGTGCCTCTGTTCGAGCAGCCGTCCGGACTGCCCAATTTCCTGGATCTAGTCAGAGACCAGCAGGTGTGTCTCGAAAATGCCTTAGTAGAAGATCCGATTCTATTTTTGATAAAAGGAACAGTTCGCGTTCGCAACTTAGACTTCCACAAATCTGTACATATCCGATATAGCATAGACTCTTGGAGCACATATGCCGACGTCCAGGCGACGTACCTCAACAACTCTTGCGACGGCTTTTCGGACAGGTTTTCCTTTAGAATTTACGCGCACACTTTGACGATTGGCCAGAAGATCGAGTTTGCCTGTCGATTTCAGTGCAAAGGGTGCCAATATTGGGACAGTAATGGAGGACGAAACTACTGCTTCCATTGCTTACCTGTCGCTTCCAACAACACCACAACCCCGGTCTTAATCAATCTTGGACATGCGGATTGGGGTGCCAGCTTTTATTAGTAAGTATTTGGGGTTTTTTCAACCTCTTCTCTTCTCTCTTTCTTGATCTGAATATCCATTATTAATTTTTTTGTTTGTTTTGATTATTCCCCTGTTATACAGGGTGATTCACAACCTTATGGATACAGAGCAGGGGCGGAGGACCTCAAAACAAATCGAGTTTCCATTTAAGTTTTTTTTCTCAGGTCCATGGCCCATGGCTAAAAAGATACAGGGTGTTTAAGGTTCAAAAAAATGTTGGTATTTTCTCTTTAACTCCTACAGTTTATGAGATATTTTGCTCAAATTTTTAACGTAGGCTAATGTTTAGACCGTTTACCCGTAGGTAAGGCGACTGGTTGTGAAACTCTACAGGGTGTTTTTTTACCCCCCAGAACTTTTTTGTGGTGCGCCACTGACTTCGACCGAACACATTTTTACACTTGCTGTTTAATTCAAGAATTTGCTGATCTCTTGCAGTTTTTTCGTATCTGTCTTGGTTTTCGAGTTATTTGCACAAATATAAGTCCATGCCATTTGGGCGATTTTCTACGAATTTTTAAATACATTTTTTTGTATCCTTTTGTTCACATTTTTCTGTCAAGGCTTCAAGTGAAAGTTGAAGCAAAAATAGTGATGACTGACGAGTTAACTTTAAAATTTATTATTTTCTTACTTTAATTTAATTTACAATAAATGAGGTTTATCGGCTGTAAGCTAATCCAAAAAAAATAAACAAAAATGTAACGAATATTTCAACTTATTATGAAAATAATTTCTTTCACAAAAAAATGTGAACAAAAGGACGCAAAAAAATTATAAGAAAATTAATTGAAAAACACCCAGGAACCCTACCTACATCGACTTATATGTGTGCAAATAACTCGAAAACAAAGGCAGATACGAAAAAACTATAAGAGATCAGAAAAGTATTAAATTGAACATCAAATTCAAAAATTCGTTCAATCGAAGTCAGTGGCGCATTATAAACAAGTTCGGGGGGGTAAAAGGCGGTATGCCTCCAGAAAAAAGCACACCCTGTAGATTTTTACAACCGGTTGCCTTACCTACGGGCAAAGGGTCTAAACATTAGCCTACGTTAAAAATGTGAGCAAAATATCTCATAAACTGTAGGAGTTAAAGAGAAAATACCAAAATTTTTTTGAAACTTAACACCCTGTATCTCGTTAACCATGAACCTGAAAAAAACCTTAAATGGAAACTGGACTTGTTTTGAGGTCCTCTACACGCCCCCTGCCCCGTGTCCATAAGGTTGTGAATCACCCTGTATAACGGGGATAGACTTTTTTTCAAGCTCACTTATTGACAAGAAGAAGTTAACGCAACGTAGCAAACGTAGTCTTTAAAATATATATTTTTTTAATTGGAGCGCACCGGTTTTGGGTCAAAAGTGGTCGAATTTTGCAAGAATTGAATGCAGTTTTAAGGGTGTTTAGATGAAAGTGTCTCCTGTTGACTGTGGAAGTCCCAACTCTCTCTATTTGAGCTGGATTAAAAGTCCGGATTTTCGTTGTTAGAAACTTTCAGAAAGTTGGCAAAAATCATCGATTGAAGGCGAACTTAATGACATTTTACAAAGTTTCAGATTGAAGTATTTTCTATAGGGTCTGAAAATATCACATGGCGACTTGTTCTAGATTAGGAGTTAAGATTTTTTTCAAAAGAGCGTGTATTTGCATTAAAACTTTGCTTGCTAAACTTTTGCAAAAATCGACATTGCATGCGCTTTGATTAAAATCTTCACCACTCACCGATTGAGGAATCTTCTATACATAGATAGCGAGAATATCCAATCGCACCCTGCCCTCGAATAGAAGTTAGCAGTTTTTAAACAAGAGCGCGCCAGCACATTTTAAGACATGCCTTGGTCGCAATTTTCGGAGAATTATCCTAATTAACGAGCAACCTGTATATAAAATTCCCAGTTCATTGTATTTCAGGTTTTATTTTATTTTTATATTCCTGGTCCAAAAAAATGCTAAACATCGTCTTGTGTTCGGTGTTTTCCAAAAGTTTCAATGCTGTTGAAGATGAACTGAAGGTTATTATTAATTTAATACTATTTCTAGATGCAGTAAATCGAAAACGACCATAAAGTGTTTAACAGATAGACTTGGAAATGCACATGTCGTGTTTTAGTTCCAAGCATTGATGTGTTTGGGTTAATTTCGATTTAGAATTGGCCAGTTGCCATACAGCTGACCAACAGAACCTCAAGTGTGCAACAATCAAGTTTGTTTTTAATTAAATAATAAAGGCAAAGCATTGCTTTTGTATTTAAGGTGTAACAAAAATTCGAGGGTGTTTTATCATAATGCGCAAGTGATTTAGGGACTGTGTGTAGAAGGTTTTATGAGGTTTCTTTAAATATGTTCTCTGAGAAAATAGCGATGTCCGAAATCTTTTGCGCTTCTTTAATTTACTAATTGAAGTTTTATAATCCTCTAGTTTTAATGTCGAGAAGATTCGGATCGACACATGTTTGAAGAATAAGTTTCAAAATACAGTTGAGAAAACCGCCGAAAATCAATTTCTTCGAATCGAAACCCCCATTTTTGATAATTTTGTCTGATTCAGTATTAAAATTAATTGTAAGTTTGTGTAAGGTTGTCTATTCCAAAAGTGTGTAGTTTTCGAAATATTATCGGGGGTAATTGCACAAGTGCTTCAAAATTACCGATAATTTTGCATGAAAGCTTGTTGTCTAAAAACTGCATGAGTTTATTTTCATATT